GCCATATCCACATACTAATGGGGAAGCGTTTGTAGACTGTGCTGAAAGAAAGTTTGTGACGTTGCGGTTATTCCGACCTTATGTACGTTTTTCTTCTTTTATGGGTTCGACATTAGTGCTCGTACACTTGAGACGTGGCAAAAAGGGAGGGACTTTCTAGAAGGACCACCATTTGTATTTCCAGTTGATTTTTTGTTCAAGCCTTTTTGGATATCCGGAACATGATCAGATTGCAGGTTAATAGTGGTAAATATGTATTTACACTATACCAATGCTGCACATATTGAAATTTCTCTTGATTAGATCCAGTAGGAAAAAAGTTACGGCTGAAAATTGTAACTGAAAAAGCATTTCGCCCAATACTTTTGAGCGCTACTGTATATAGTGGGGCTTTATATAGTGTCCTGGTGCGGCTCTTCCATTACGACCATGCATTAGGCACGGTCACTAAAGCCTGCTCATAATTTTCTGCATGACATTTGTTGGCACCATTATTAAATCGGCTTATTATGGGAATATGTATACGTTCTCAGGGTCATGGCCGAATATTTCAGCTACAGTATCCTTCTCAGCCGAAGACGGTTGAACGGGTTGGAAAAGTCTTCCCAAGGTCACGGTGCTTCATTGCTCAATGGGTTTTGCCATTTGTTGTTTTTTATCTTTTAAAATATCGTAATGACTTGCCTCTTGNCAATCTTTATTGACGAGCTTTCATGAGATCTGTACTGTTTCGATGAATGTCCCATTACTTTTCCAACCAGCAACTTTGGTTCATATCAGATTACTGATGTGACACCTCGGGTAAGGGACTCTTCTGGTATCGCCTGATTGCAAGCATATGACAAAGGAAGGAACATAAAAGGAATGTTGTACTGAGCAGAACGTAAAAGGCGGACGAATTTCCAAAAGCATCAGCAACGTTAAGCGCTCGTGAGATAAGGTTGAAAGCTCCTTAAACTCCAATTTTTATGGGCCAGGCCACCTACAATCATATGTTCCTCCCAAGGAATCACTATTTGCTAAGTGTCACGAGTCTTACTTGGGTTGTATTAAACGTTTAGCAGCATGATGTATGGTCCTAAGTGGAAGAAACGGCTGTGTAAGTGAACATTTTAGAAGTTTCCCTGGGCACTGTGAGTATGCTTAGTAGAAGCAGTGAACATGTCTGTCATTCCAGGACGTGCTCACAGTTTTTGTTGAAATCTTCAGAAGAAAAACATACCAATACAAAAAGGAAGAAACACTGAGGAGGTCCGACCGCCCATTGCCCTCCTGAAAGTATACCAAAGAAGGTCAGAGAGTAGCGCAGACACTCCTACATAACATGTCGTTGGCGTAATAGCTTTCTGATGTGTATTGTTTGAGTTGGTCAGTGGAAGCTATCCATCGACGTAATTATTCACCAAGTTTGGAAGACTATGTGGTGTAATCTGTTAACTAATCAGTTGATGTATTAATTCTATTAAAACAAATATGGTAAGATAGAGGTGTCGTATCCATCTGGAAGGCATGTCTAACTTACGAATGGACTACTTGGAAGGGCAATAAAAATAAGTAAGCCTTCTTAACCCTGAGTTATCCAATCATGCATATCATCTTTTTCAAATCTTCCTTTTTCCTTTTCTACATTCACTGGCTTTATGTGGATTAGAGATCGAAGAGGCCTAATTCGGGGCTCCCTTGGGGAGTGTTTGTATATTCTTTGATTCAAAAACGGTTTTATTCCGAATGATACTTATTAACCTATTGGCTTAGCATTGCTCGGATGGCAGAAATGAATCCAATCCTGAAGTAAGCCACTCGTTTTTCTAATTTTGGAACATGTCTGCAGCTATTTATATGGAGCTGAGGTTCGAAGGTCTCTTCCCAAAATGGGACCAGCCTGGTATTTTATCAGAAAACGTGTAGGTAACATTCCAGTTGGCATTGTATTCTCTGTATTTGCATTTATTTATCGATTGTTGTTGTCCCTAACATATTCATGAATCAGCTTACGCAGCCGTTCGAGGGGAAAAGAGGACAATATAAGAGAATGGTTTTCTTGTGCTTATTATTGCCTAAGTATTTATGATGCTAAAAGTCCATTCATTCACAGAAAACGCTTGACAGCGCTCTGAAAAGAACTCGTTACTGTATATGTATATGTATATGTATATGTATATGTGTATGTATATGTATATGTATACATTCCCCTACGTTCTGCTGGGAACAACTTTCCTCTCGTTCTGCCATGGTCATATACTTGTTAACGAGATACTTTTATTTACCAGCAGACCAGAAGCTAGCGTGAGCATGATGTGGATCTTACTTAGTATAGGTGGGATTTCACGAATGGCGTCCGAATCGGTGCCAAGTGGACCTGTCATATTGTTGACCTGATATGAACTAAATTTACTGATCGAAAAACTAATTGTACACTTACAAAGACAGTAGAGATCTAATCGAAATTCGTCCAGAGGTCCATGACACCTTGTGACATTCACCTAATTGGTGAAAATCAAACATTGATCTTATTTTTCACTCTTTCGATACTCCTCTAAACGGTATATTGTAAGGTAATCTAGAAAATAGAGAAAAAGATCTACCGTTCACGAACCACGTGACCTCAAAAAACACCTCTTCAGCGCCAGCTCGACAGCCTACTGCAGATAAGGATAATGTAGCTGAATTATTCAGATATGACATTGAGACCGTAAATATTCCCATAATTTTAGCCGCTTTAATAGTGTTGCCAACAAATGTCATGCAAAGAATCATGAGCAGCCTTTAGTGATCGCGCTTAATGCACGGCCGTAATGGAAGAGCCGCACCAGAACACTATATAAAGCCCCTCTATATAACAGTGCACAGCTGTCAGAGATTCGGATTGCTCTTCACAACTTCGTTCCTCGAACTTTATTCAGTATTTGCTTTCAGGTAGCAAATGAACGCTCTCTCGCCCTCAATCCGGTGCCTCGTGACCCTTGTATGTTGTTCTTCAATAATCCTCTGATAATCTTCACGATACCATCGGCAATGGTATCCAAATCGTTTGTTCTCCATGGGTTGCAGCACACAAACGCTAAAGAACATTCTATGCATGTTTGGGGGTTGCATGTCATGAAGCAACACAGGAGCGGTAGGGCCTAAAGGATAACGTGGAGTCTCCGGGATTCATGATTTATAAGTGCCGATTGGACCCTTCCATGAAGGAAGGATTGTAAGAGGCGTAGAGGGCAACCCTTGATCCCATGTGCCTGTAACTTCCTGGCAGAAAGCGGGATAGAAACAGAGTCCAAGGCTTCTGCTTAGTCTATGTAAGAGACCGGATCAAAGTTTCCTCTGTCAATTTCTATGCAAACAGGGGATAGTCAATAGTAAAGCAGACGTTGTGTATCTGCTCGTAGAGAAGCTGTTGATTACTGTGCACGAAGATTTTCTCAATAAGAATCTCGCTAAATTGCTTATATAATAGTCGTTCCATGGCTTCGCTAATAGAGCTAGTCGTATCAGACTGTAGTTGGGTGTCGCAAATTGCGACTTTTCTCATTTTCCCAGGTATGGTAGATTCAATACGACTCAATCTTCAACGTAGTTGCTCGACTCAATCCTTGGCTCTATTCCCGACGCAATACTCGTCTCAACTCTCGACGCAATACTCGCCTCAACTCTCGACGTACTTCACAAAGCAAGACTTCACACTTCACGACCTATAACCTTCGCCTTCTGTGTTTCTCTCCTGCTCGGACGTCTACTCTAATTCATTCTCTGGAACGTCTTTCGTACACTGAAATAAACCATTTTTATTCACCGCGTGGCAGTCAAGTGTCCCACATTGGGCAAGGATCAGGATGGTAACAATATTAACAAAATACGGGGCCATACTGTTTAATAGACAAGCTTTGCTAATGAATTACCAGAGATTCGCTTTGCTAATGAATTACCAGAGATTCTAGGTTAACCTTTTGACCCTACCACTCCTTCCTTTTTCGATCGCTTCCTAAATATGCATAGAATGTTTTTTTAGGGTTTGTGCGCTGGAACTCAATGCGAACAAATGACTTGGTATCGTTTCAAATCGTATCCAGAAAACTCACCACAGGATTATCGAAGAATCAATATATTAACATTGGAGGATTATGGAAGAATCAAGGGTCAGGAGGTACCGGACCGGAAGCGGCGGTGTATTCTTTGCTACCTGAAAGCAAACACTAAATAAAAGTCGAGAAGAAAAAAACTGAAGGCGCTCTGAATAATTTCTTTGGATGGTCTGATCCTGTCTGAGTTGTTGATGTCGACCTCATTATTTTCATGACAAAAAAAGGTTCAAGGAAGTCAAATTCCGCTATCAGGATGTCTAAAAGACCTTGTTTCTTCATGATTTCCCGAAAATTTTATGCTTTCAATATACCTCTTGCCTAATACTATTCCGAGCTAATGTTAAAAAATAGAAAAAAATGACTGGGCTTTTTAGAATTGGAAACATAGAAGGGATTTTCGATAGGATGAAGGATTATTGCCTTCCCTTCATTTACTCACATTCAGTGCGGTGTTTATCACTGATATATGGGAGTCTATCTTGGAGCATCTCTCAAGATGGTACCCCCACATCGTTTTCCTTCAAATTTTGACAGGCTCACTACCCCGTTGGCAAAATATATTTTCATTGTCTTTTGAGGCCAGTGATGCTTCATGATGTACTAAAAAGTTTAAAAATTGTATATTCAAAGTAGTGAAGAATATTTTATTTGTAGAAGGGAGACGGAATTCAAAGTAGACGGCGCGCCGGACGAATGCGTAACTTACAAATTTCAAGGTGACTTCATTATGGAGAAAACGGTAACCTCAAAACAAGTGAGACAATCAGCAAATGATTCGAAAACATCGATCGAAGGATTATGAATGAGCAGTCGAAAAATGAAATAATTTCACCGACAATTTATTTATTTATTTTTTCTGGATGCAGTGAAACTCCTGATGTTATATAATACAAAAGACAAGCTTTCAAATGAAGAAAAGCCATTTGTTGAGTACCAATACGATGTTATCGAAGCAGACATAGGTATGTTACCTAAGCAACGTTCAGCAACACGCAGCTCTGTCATCACGCAGATGGAGTGCAGCTACAATTTTTAGAGAACCGAATGATTGCCCATCGCAATTCGTAGATTTGCTCCGACATTAAAAGGGCTCAAACCACTTGAAAAATATTCAAGGCATCCCTAATTCGGACGCTGCCATACTCTGCACTTTTCAAAGGGATTCATTGGACTCTCAACAGGACTGTCGAAAGCATTCGAAAAAGGTGGAAAGTTCTGAAGTGGCACACTTTGAAAAAGGAGAAATCATTTCATGAGTAGGTCAAAAATGATGAGAGATCTGGGCCGAATGCTATTTTCACAGCTCGCAGCGCTCTCTCTTACCGTAGCTTGGTAGGTACAGATAATCCGAGCTGAACCAAGCTGTGCATGACTAGTTGCTTACTCCAAAG